ATTCATAGCCTTGAACAAACAAGAACACAACAGCATTATTACTAGTACCATGACAGTATTAGCCCTACCCTACCCCCAGCAGTATGACATGATCAAGCCATTCATAGCCTTGAACGCACCCTCACTGTACAACAGCATTATTACTATTACCATGACAACTAACCCCCAACCCCTTCCATCACTTTGGGATTATTAGGCTATTTATAAAGCCTTAATTCAAAACCTCTGCCGTTAAACACCACAAGCCACTATAACAACGATCTTTCAGACGTAAGAGAAGATCTTCATGAGTGATAACTTGACACGGTCCCTATTAGAATCGATGACATCGACTGACCCAATCAGAGTGCGCAAAGTTACTGATCATCTAAACAAAATGTTTGGACGTCATCAAGGAACCATTTTTCATATACATGGCGTAGGTTTGTCCACCCAGTTTTTTTACGAAATCTGATCTTTTTCCATCAATCTATTTGGTTTTTATGTGTAAACGTAATACTGCACCACAAACCTGAGTTATAATAATGAGAAAAGTCCACATTGAATATCCAGTGAAGAAGTCACCTAAACCAGAACCAGAAACAGTCTCTGCAAAAAAGGGTTCAAAAGTCGGAGTCATTTTTTAAGAATTTTGGTGAACCATTTTCTCCTCTCCTACCGCCCATTAGCTATCTCAGCAGTTCTTCACTCCAATTTCCCTCCCTCTTTCCTTGATTCTCATTTACATGGTTATCTTCCCTCCATTCCCATTATCCACTTCCCTCTTCTCTACTATTATCCCTCTAGTCATTCATCCTCCCACTTCTCCCATTCCCTCCCTCAACTCCTATTCCACATACCTATGTTTCTCCAATCTCTAACCCCCCTTCTCTCCCACTCCAGTTACATCTCCCCACTCCTCCCACACACACCACCACCACCACCATCATCCTTTTCCCTCTGACCTCAAGGTCTCCCATGGTTAATTCCCACACAACTCCTATTGCATCAAAAAGATTCAATATAAGACTTACCGTGTGTATTATTTTGGATGCTGTCGTTAATAATAAACGCCCAGAAATTGAGAACCACACCATATGTGTATAACAATGAGTTCTGTAGATGCAGAGAAACCTAATCCATTCAAAGCACAGAAGCGTTAGGCATTTGTAATGATATAACAATGTTTCTATTAAAAGGCCGATGCATGGCAGAATTGCAACACAAATGTAGGAATGCATCAGTGAAAAATGTCTTTACCATACTTAATATGCCTTGGTAACATATTATCAAAAGTATTAAAGTGTTTGACTGTTGGTGGATGGACAGACATGAAGCAAAATGTTTTGCGAACCAAGATCCCAAATAATAATAATTACTAAAGGACCTTGAATTGACGGTATAGCAAATACCAGACAAGAAGCAAGAGAATATTGTTATATGTGGTCTAACTTTAAATATCGCAAAATTAAAGTGTTGCAAAAATTTCATGCAATAATGTTAAACAAATTACTGGTATTATTTTAATAGTTAAGTTGCATTTTAATTAAGCAAGAAATTTCAATTACCTTGAACTGTCGCTTGAGAATATATTCTATTTAAGAAAAAAAAACAGGAGAAAAGTATTATTTGTTTTTAATGGGGACCAGGGGGGAGGGGGGGGGGGAGGAGGAGTGGGGAATGGGAGGGGGATGGAATTCGTTTGGCAACCCATATGAGAGAAAGGACTCCCTTCTCTATTGTTGTATGAAATATTGCCCCTCTCTTTTTTTCTTCTGTTTATTATCGTAAAAGTGCTGTATGACTTGACCTTTGCTTTTTGCGGTTCCCCTCATAAGTCTGATTTTGGTGATGACAGACAGACAGACAGTATTCGGTATCAAGTATTAGAATATACATGGACTGTCATTTTACCCAAATAAACGTATGGAGGCTATAATTGTTGATTTATAGTAATTTCTCTTATGTTATAATTGATGGTTTTGAGGAACTTAACAAAAGAATTGTCAATGAATTCTTTTGTAATATCCTCCTTGATAACCCATTCCCCTCAAATCTCTTATCCCCCCCCCCCCCCCCCCCCCCCTTGCATTAAAAAAACCCCTTTGGGATACAATATATACATGCAAGAGATCCATTGATGATGTCAACTGAACTGATGACATCTCAACCAAAACAAACCATCATTTTACAAATAAAATGCAAAAAAGACAGATAAAATTAGATTAAAAAATATAACATTATTTCATAGCAAATAAAAAAAATTGTTCACTGAAATTTCAAATGTTGATAATTTTCAAACATCAATTATGTAAACCAAGATCTTTTAAGATATCAACCTACCAGTGTATACCCCTGCCAGTCCAGATATTGTGCAGTATAGTAACATTAATAGAACTCCAAGTAGTGTAACATAAATTTTATTTTCAACTTGTTGTTTGTTGTCTTTTATTATTTCATGGTGAGGGTGGAGACCACCATAGCTATTAAACAAACAATCAAATAATTAATTAAAATAATTAATGGGGATGTGATCTACCCATCTAATGATTCAGCTATCAATCCCTCCATTCCCCCATCCATCCAGTATCAACCTGCCATCCATATACCTAACCTCCTGCATCCATTCCTTTATCCCTCCCTCCCTCCAACCCACCCACTATCTATCCATCTATTACCATCCATCCATTTACAATTCACATATCCCTCCCTCCCTCCCTTCCTTCCTCCCTCCCACCCACTATCTATCCATCTATTCCCATCCATCCATTTACAATTCACTTACCCATCCCTCCCTCCCTCCCTCCCTCCCTCCCTCCATCCATTGACCCACCCACTTTATAAGCATTCATCATCATAATCTCACCTGTTTGATATCCCAGCTAATGTCACTAAAAATAAAGAAATCCATTTCTGTCTTGAAATTTTTCTGTAGAATCACATTGACAAATAATTCAATAATCTATTCAATAATATTCTAATATATTCTATAATATATGTATTATTTAATAGTTAGTACCTTTTAATTATTAACCAGTACAACACTGCAGTAGTTGCTATTTTTAAATTGCCGAGTACCTTAAATGTAAAGGACAGAAATATTATAACACACTAAATGGTACCATGCAACTTACATTTCATATTGCCTAATGATACAAAATAGTCAATAAAAATAGACAAGAAGGTCTAGTTGGGTGGGGGGTGGGTGGGTAGTTGTAGTGGGGATCACTGCCGACTATCCCCAATATGATACCCCATCCTTTCTTCCCTTTAAGATATATGCAAGGGTTTTTTTTCATTTTCAATGAGATGGGAACAAAAGGAGGCATAGCAATGATCCATTTTGCCTTCCATGTGCCTCTGGGTTCTCTGATTCATTCCTGCAATTGGGATCATATGTGAGTAGAGCTTATTAAGTCTCTCCTTTGATTAGAGGATTTTCTTTTGGGTTTGACTTTGGGAGAAAAAGTACGTCATGATACATTTTGCATTCTATTATATCTCCTACCATTACCCAGCCTCCCTACGCCAGATAATTTGTAATACATTTCCTGGAATTAAACATTTCAATGTAGTTGTTCATAAAAGAGGTTGTACTCAAATTACCTGGAAACTTGCAGGATCCAAATAGAGTTGAACATGAACAACAATGTTGTTATTAATGCAGTACAACACAGCTGGTATTGAAAATGCTAAGACAGTTTTAACAGATGGGCTGTGGATGTTACCAGCCAGTGCTTCAGGGATGAAGAAAAATAGAGAAAATAGAAGCTGAAACAGAAGTAAAAATGTATTTCAAAAGAAAAAGCTAAAGAAGAGAAAACATTTTTTGAACAAGTTGTATAAAGGGTGGTACAGAGGTTTGGTGTGGCATATGATTTACTGTAGGCTAATTAAATAAGTATGTGATAGGTAAAAATAGCAAAATAAAAGAGCAAGATTCCATGTAAATTCTATGTTTTCTGTAATCATGATTCTCCCCTTGAATGATGTACTCAAAATGTATGATGTACGTAAAAGTTAAAATCACAGGGTTCGTGCTGAGGTAGCCACTTAAAATTCAAGGACTATTCAAAATGAATTTTCAAGGAGTATGTTCAGCTAACTATGCCAAGGTTTTACACGGTGGTTGCACATGGCCGACTTTCAGATTTTCCAATCTTTCTGACTAGATCTATTTCAGAACCATGCAAGTAATGATCAAAGAAAAATCCAAGGAGTTTTCAAGGAGTTTCCCTAAAATCGTAAAATTCAAGAGCTTTTCAAGTGCCCTTGAAAACGTGAATTAAATTCAAGGAGTTTTCAAGGAATTTAAGGAGAAGCATGAACCCTGAAATCAGTTAAAATTTGTGATCTGTTAATGTGCCTTAAAATAATGGCGTGACACATGAATTTTGGGAATATGAATGAAGAAATGTGATACCGACCACCGCTGTGCCTTTCATGGAGGGGAGGGTAGGTAACAAAGCTGTATTGACCCAAGGGTGGGATGAGTTAGTAGAATGACTATACTTACTTTAGGAAGGGGAGAGAAGTAACATGGCTTTACAACATAGTAGGACAGAGAGGGTGTAAATGCAAGGAGCAAAAACGAAATAGGACTGTGTCTTTCTCAGGGAAGGGTAGATTAGTAGCTTGCTTGTTAACTTACCTTAGCTAGTTCTATAAGAAGTACAACTGAAGCAGAATTAAATGGTATCTTCCCATCCACTTTGCACAGATTGATTAATATAGAGTGTGATCCATAAATGAAGACCCTGGAAAAATAAACAGTTAAAATAAATTACAGCCAGTAAGTCTGATTAGAATGTCAAAGTATTAAAAATCTACAGTCTTTTGGTTATGATGTATAGACACCTTGCTTGTGATGTCAAAGCAGCTCGACCTGGGGGACAAAACAAAAGAATTCCAATCTTCTGAGAATTGGAACCTATTGTTTTGTCCCTCAGATTGAGCTGCATTCCAAAGTGCTGTGAGGGGGCTATTGGATATAATTAAAAATACATAAAATCCTTAGGCCTTTTTCCACTCTGAAATTCCATGCAACTTCACTGAAACATAAATATTTTTCAAAGATATGAGGGCTAACCCTGAGCAATAGGCCTTTGAAGTTAATGGTCACATGTCTGTACTGGAGAGCAAAATTTTTGCTTGTATTTTAAATGGGTGATTCTTCTTAGCTACTTGTAAAGAACTGAAAGAAACGATGGGTAACCTGAGTGTGTTACAGAAAATGCAGTTTTATTACAATCTCTCGAAACAGGTTGTAGAAACTTAAGTGTGTTTGCTCTCCAGCATATTTCACCCATGGGAATCAAAATGTTCATTCATTTGTTCTAGGTGAATTAATCAGTCTGTGATTACTGAGCTGCAAAGGGCACATAGAGACTTGAAAAGTGTAATATTCTAACAAGCTATTAAAAATAACATCATTACCCTGCAATAAACATTAGTTGCCATAGGATACTCATCAGTGGGTCTAGAAATCGACCATTTTGGGACATCATTGTTGGAGAAGGCGGAGGTAACTAAGATGATACAAAAAATGTTGATTATTAAATGTGTTACAGGTAAAGATATGGTATATCTCATACCTAAAACCAATCAGAATTCAGTAACTTTGCCCCTCAGTAAAGTTTTAGCCCAACAAAAAGTAAAACATGGTCCATTGTATGCCCCATACCTCAAAAACACAACACACAAAAACAAAATTTAGCAATTTTGGTCCTTGTAGAATGTGGACAAGAAAGAATAATAATTTAAAAAAAACTGTTTAGTAGCCTCAACGTTGAGATGTACAGACTCATCAGTACTCCATTTTACAGTCCCGTTCAATGACCACAAATATCAGTTCCAAGCCAAGGTTGGAGTTGCGACGCATGATAAAAAGTATAGTTTTGCTATGCGCGGCTGTTCTAGCCTTGACTTGGAACTATTATTCATGGTCACTGAATGGAACTGTTAAAAGGAGTCTTAAATTACTGTGTTAATTAAACTCATTCTAAAGCATTTAATAGCTAGAACCTAACAAAAATACCTAGCGTTACTTAGGGAGCGGTCATTTATTAGAGGGGGGAGGGGCTGGTGCAAATGGGGAGGGGGCCATATCTTTTTATTCAACCAAAAATAAGCGGCTGCATGAAATTATGCAAACATTTTTGGGGGGTCATGTGTTTTTAGTCAACTATTTCAGGTTTTATATAGAGTTTACATTTTCATAGCAAATTTAAAGCATAAAATCTTGGAAGTGAATCCGAGAATACTATAGAAAACAAAGTTATTTGGACACAAGCAAGGGGAGAGAGGGAAGGGTTTTCTGTGGGTAAAAAAGAAGTGCTTAAGAGTGTTTATAAAGTATGAGCGTATGGATGGGAGTCAGTTTGTATGAGTATTGTAGATTGGAAGAGATATAGGATATTATGAAATTTGTAAGGATTAATTTGAAGGTAACGTAGGGAATTTAACAAATTTACGATGGTTTAGCGTGGTTGGTCAAAATGTTATGGACTCACGAGGCGTAAGCTGAGTGGGTCCATAACTAATTTTGACCAACGTTTGGCGTCATATCGTGGTAAATAAGAGGACATACCACGCTAAACCATCGTAAATTTGTTTTTTACTACAAAACTCACAAAACTCTAGGAAATAGACTGCACGAAATCTTGCATGACGCCATTTGTTGGTATGGCCTCTTATTTACGACATTTTTTAACCAATCAGTGCGCGAGAAAATTTACAATTGTGGTAAAAAGGGGAAATATGCTGCATATGGCCATGGCACGAGTGGAGGGGGAAGTGTTGATATGATGTATCAAAATATAATTTGCTTGTAAGTTTGTATGATGAGCTCATGTGTAGGTAGAACCGAAAGTGTATGGATGTTAGACTTAGCGCCCTACCTTGGACCTATCATCAGGGGTGAAGATGCAAGATAGCGAAGGAAATCGACGTGTTTCATTACTCTCAGACCCAGGTTGCATTGGGTCTGATTGAGTTGGGGRTGGGTCATGTTATTTTATGTTCTCATTCCTAGGTGGCCATGTTATTTTATGCATTTGAAAGAACAGGGCCACAAGAAAAATATGTCATGGGAAATAAAAAAGCACCAGCCCACCCTCCCCTCTAATAGGTGACCGGTCCCTTAGGTTCTAGGCATTATACAAGGTTATCAAATATATATATATATATATATGTGTGTGTGTGTGTTTCATTGTAACACTCTAATTGTATTAATTCACCTCTTAACTTCAATGGCAAATGAATGCAAATAAATATTGTATTCTTGGTTTGCAATCAATCCCAAGAGAGCACAATAACAAAAGGGATGTCCGCCATGTTGGAAGATGTAACAAAAGAATTCATTGAAAAATCTTATGTCAAATTCTTCCAACATGGCGGCTATGACGTCTATTGCAAACGAAGAATTCATTTTATCGTATTAATATGACGTAATTGTTCACAAATTGTATTGAAAATCGTTCTCCTACTCACCGAGTTCTCTTCTTTTGCTTTAAAATCACTGGTAATATCAATGCTTTCTACTAGTTTGTGATATTTAGACATTTCCAAAAATATATAAATAATATATAAAAACCTAACACTAGTCCACGTATCATAACATATTTAAGCTGATCGCAATAACTTTTGATATCAAGCTTTATCTAAAAGAAGGATTAATTTTTTTAAATCATTTCAAATACGACTCTTCTCAATATTCAATAAATATACAAAATCATTTTAGATTTTAATTTAGACTCGTCATCATATCACTTCCGGACGCCATTGCTGTTATCCGTACCAGTCTTACTCGGGCTTGTACGTGTTATGAGAGGGGAGGGGAGAAGATGGAATGTGCAATAAAGAGTTTTAGATTTAAGTTCATGGCCGAACGTGAAACGTCAGTTGACCAGTAAAAAATTCTTTTAAATGACTGAAAAAGAATCGCAAAAAAGTCCAAGTAGTAGAAAAACAAAAGAGTATTTGCACTTGGTGAGAAGGTTTGTAAATAGTAAAGTAAAATACAGGAAAACTATGAAAACGTGGTCACGTTTGAGGAGAAAAAAAAAGTGAATCTAAAACTCTCTAATATTCTCTTCCCCAGTTCAACCCTCTGCAGGACCTCTCTGAAAAACACCTTGGTGATGAGATCAGTTCCTGTATAAACATTGTTTACTATTTTTATCAAATATTTAAGAATTTATAAATTTTGTTTGAACTCATTGAAGATATTTGTTAACATGTTGAAATTCCGCCATGCATGTGTGATCCGACTGCCTTGAAAAAAATATATTGGGCTTTGCTACCTACAAGTTGGTTGAGAAGTCAAGAAGTCAAGCACGGCTAACTCACAGATATCGCAATATGGAACTAGTTTTACGAGGGCCGAAACCAGAGAACCCGGAAGAAAAACTCTGATATCATATCAAAGTGCGAGAGGAGAGACAGAGAGAGAGGTCTAACAAATTCTACTCACATAAAACTCCCCTAAACCCTGAATTATTATACTTATCTGCATGCGAGTCTAGGTTTTGGCCATGAATCAGCAGCTACTACTGAACCAAATCTAAATTGTTTAGATTAAATTTATGCTAATTATTGAACATTGATTGTGTGACTTATGTCACGTGGACTTTTATCACGTGTTATGATAACATTGATTTATGTAAATGAGTATCAAG